CCGGGATAATGTCTGCTCCGGTGAAAGGCCCAAATCGTCTACATATGCTACCTATATAATGAGTAGAAAGAGCTCGAAGTGTCGTGTTCCGGATCTCCTCCCGAGAACCGTCAGCCAGCGTGTGCCGCGGGCGAATGGAGGCCATTCCGCCGCGCGCCCGGAACCGGTGGCGGGCGACGTGCTACGGAATCGCGGACGACGAAGGTACCGTGATCGATGCGTTAAGAGGCTGACTCGTGTTGGACAGGCGAATCTTGTCCTAAAAGGGGTATGTGCCTGTAAGAAACTATCGACATTCATATCACGGAACACCGCACCGAAAATTTTAAGATCCGACAAATCCGCATGCGTCCGCACCTACACGACACAACACACAGCCCGCCCACAGCGCGCGCACAATCCCCGCAAACCAATCTGCACGAACCGGCACACGCAAACGCCACACGCGGCACACGCAGCACGCACAGCACGCACGCACACGTCACACACCACATACAGAATACACACAAACAAATACAACCACGGACAACGAGCACCGAGCTCTCACACACGATCGCGGTTTGTCCTTAAAAAATCTACCAGCCTCACAGCTGTGCGCGGCCAGGTGACTTGGCTGTTTAGTAACACGTTGTCGAAACGGCGTTAAAAATGTCAGAGGCAGCAATCAGGGCGTGAGTCGGTTAAAGGCGCGGGCGTACGGTTACACCCCTCTCGGTGTGGTTTCGAAATGTTTGGTCAGCACCGACTGCGCGCAGCGCCAAGAATGCAACATCCCCCCCATTGTCCATAGGCGACGCACACAGCGGTCGGCACCCGCCGTATGTCACCACACAACAGCTTCGGGCATCGCGCACGCCATCACCAGCCCGACCGGCGCAACCGACCGCCAGGGCCAAGACACGCGACCCACCCGCAAACCGGCGCCCGGCTGAGCGCCGGACAAGCGCGCCAGTTGCGCTCGGGAGGTGTATAAACTGCCAATCAACTTGCCAGCCCGGCACACACCCAGCCTGGCAGCTGTGAGGCCGAAGAGAGATTTAAGGCAAAGCCCCAACAAAAGACAAGCGCTGCACGGTGTGTGGGCGTGTGCGTGTACTGTTGTATCTGTGTGCCGAGAGCCCGTAGTGTGTAATGTGGTAATGTGTGTGCCGTGTGCGTCGGTGGATTGTGTCGTCGCGCATGCCCGTAGGTGTGATACTGGTTGTGTGTGCGTGCTGCGCGCCGCTGGATTGGCAAAAGTTGACAACAAGGGAAGGTGTAACCGTCCCCGGGCGCTAACCGGCTCCCAATCGCTCTGACATTTTAGACGCAACACCGGTTTCGAGATAATCGTGTACGAGCAGCCGATGCTATGTGGTGCGTAACAATAATCAGCGGGTATGTGTGGTGCGTGGGTGCCCGCGCCGGCCGCGCAGCGCGAGCTTGTGTAGAGCGAAAAATTTAAGACAACCCCTCTGACGAGACCGCCTGCCAGTGTAAAGTGCTCGTGTGGATGTGTATTGTTGCCCCCTGTGTGCGGTGTGCGGTTGTGGGTGGGCGTCGTGGCGTGTGCGTGTGCGTGTGCGCTGTGCGTGTGGCGTGTGCGTGTGCGTGTGCCGTGGTGGCGATGTCGTTCGTGGTGTTCGTTATCGTATCATGTACCTGTATGGTAGTATGCGTGTGGTGCGTTGCATCGTGCATGTGCGTGTTATGTGTGTGCCGCGGACCGTGTGTGTGTAAATATGGTATGGATGTTGCGTGCGCGTGCGTCGTGTGATTGTGCGTGCGCATGGCCCGTGTGCGGTGTGGAATGGGGGCGGTGGGAGTGCGTTGCGTGGAGCGCGCCGTGATGTGTGCCATGTGTGGCGTGTGTGCGCGCGTCGTGTCGCCAAATATGTGACAGCCCGAGCCGCGACGCGGACAGCCAGGTGTAAACCCTGCCCGCCGGCCGTCACACGTAAACTTTCGAAGAAGATAAATATATCTTCAAAAAACTACTCCAATGCATTTTGCTTGTTGTTGGTAAGAATCTGGGACTTATTAAGATGCTCTAACCAAGAATGGAAATATTTTCAAAAATAATATCTAAAATAACTGAGAATTGTAGCTGGATGAAAATCAACCCCATTTCCCTTTTTTGAAAAATTGATTGTTAATTTTTAACGGTAAAATTTCATGATTGTTATAATATAGGTGAAGTGACAATTTTTCTTACAACAAGTTATTGATGTCATTGTGACTGCGGAGTCTAACATATCAGTATTGCTACTGTAAAATGAACGATCCCCACCACTAAGAGTGAGAGATAAATTGGGTTTAAACCGGCCATCCCAAATCAGACCTGCCGCACGCCCACTTAAGACGCCGTCTGGGAGGACGGGTAATGAGTCTAGTAATATAATAAATAGGTGTTACTATTAACTATTTGCCTACATGTTTGGTCAAATTGATATGCGTCTGCGGTGTAATCAGTGTTACGTGGGGAACAGTACGTATAACCCCATACGGTATTGAGTACGTGTGATGATACCATAAAAAGTGGCAAATATATAGCTCTATCATTCCAATTCAATTTTTCTGTTGTTATCTTATTTTTAATTTCTTATTAGAATCCCACTCCTCCCAGCAAGAAAAATAATTAAGAACCCCTTGTATATTACAATACAATTGCGCATACCCTCGCTGTGATCATTTTTCCTCCCTTTTAGATATTATTGAACAAGCCTCGTAACTTTTCAAATAGATGCTATTCTGATGTGGCGATCCATTCATAATAAAGAAGTTGACGATACGAATATTATATTAAGGTGCAATGAATCACATATATTGTCAAAGATTACTAAACAATAGCTTATATCATTATTTTGCCATGTCTATAACAACATCATGTTCTTGACCAAGAGCGATTACATTCGATGGATTAACGTGTAATGATACCATAAAAGTGCAAATATAGGCTCATTTATAATTCGGAGAGCGCCCTATCCTGTAGAAATTGGAGGAAGACCTTGCATGTTAGCTCCCCGCTGCATATACCAACCAGTACATAATCTGGTTACGTTAGCTTGTTAGTGCATGTACAATATCTCACAAGAGAAGTTATATTTTGCGATGAATATGCAATGTATATGCGATGAATATGGTTAGGGGGTATCTCAACGTAGATTTCTCTAATAAATTGTTATCAGTAGACCTGTGTTTATAATTAGGAGCGCGCCCTAGCCTGTAGGGTACAAAACACCTATTTTACTACGTTCTTGGCAGTAGACCTGTGTTTATAATTCGGAGAGCGCCTTAGCCTGTAGCAAAGGGACGAAGACCTTGCATGTTAGCTCCCCGCTGCATATACCAACCAGTACATAATCTGGTTACGTTAGCTTGTTAGTGCATGTACAATATCTCACAAGAGAAGTTATATTTTGCGATGGATATGCATTTAATATGGTTAGGGGGTATCTCAGCATAGATTTCTCTAATAAATTGTTATCAGTAGACCTGTGTTTATAATTCGGAGAGCGCCCTAGCATGTAGAAATGGGAGGAAGACCTTACATGTTAGCTCCCCGCTGCATATACCAACCAGTACACAATCTGGTTTCGTTAGTGTGTTAGCGCATGTACAATATCTCACAACAGAAGTTATATTTTGCGATGAATATACATTTAATATGGTTAGGGGTATCTCAGCATAGATTTCTCTAATAAATTATTATCAGTAGACCTGTGTTTATAATTAGGAGCGCGCCCTAGCCTGTAGGGTACAAAACACCTATTTTATGACCTCGCGTCCTTCCCCTTGCCTTCCCTGTCCCTCCCACTGCCTCCCTCTTCTTCTACCGCCCCCAGCTATCTTTCCTGTCGCCTTTCCTCAGTCTT